GTGAGAGTGCATAGCACCCCCCTTACCAGTCCTTCGCCACCCACCACTCACACTCTGAGTGCCCAGTGGCCCACCTACCAGGGGAAGGAGCACAGCACAGCGGGTGGGAGGCTTCCATGCTCTCCTCTGGTGCCATGATGGGGTGGTGCTGCTGTGTTGCTCTGGAGACAGGGCGGAAGCGGGGAGGCACCCAGAGAAGGCAGGACCAGCCCTAGGTGACTTGAGGGACTGAGGGTGGGGCTTAAAGCGGCCAGAAAAGGCCAGAGGGTTTGGGGGCTGGGCCAGGTGTGCTGGAGCTCTGCATGGAGAGGTTCGGGTGTCAAGGCAGGGCAGTGCCGCAATTTCAAATTGTGCGCTGGGCTCCTAGTATACACATAATTACATATAGGGTATGGCAAAAATAGGTTTACAGTTGTATGGAAAAGAATATAGTAATCCTATATAATAAAAGCCTAATATGCAAATTGTTCGACCGGGAGTTCAACTGCTCACTATTATGTGTGCTGACCACCAAGGGGTGGTGCAGAACACGGTGGGCATCAGCGATGCGGTGCTGGCAGGGGCTGCAGTGGAGGCACTGCCGGCCTGATGGACCTAGACAAGAGTAGGTCCGTGGCAGGATGGTGGAGCAGGTAAGTGGGCAGAGCCAGGCCAAGGCGGGTGTGAGCGGGGGCCTGATCACCTGACAGATGGTGACCAGTGGCTGGCAGGCCCTGATCGCCTGATCAGGGCTGGGCCCCAGGCTGGGACAGGGTACTGGGGGTGGGTGGCAGCGACCAACCTCTCGCAGTGCCCGAGTGGGGGGCTGTGACCTCTCGCCAGCTACCTGGGGGTGGGGGTGACAGGAATGGAGGTGCGGTGAGAAAGCGTGCTGCCTGACCGGTTTCCATGCAGTGCCACTGGGTGGCCCAGAGGCCCATGCTATGCCCTGGCCATGGCATCTGGCCACACTCACTGCATCTCTGTGTGGGGACTTGGGCGCCGTGACTCAGGCAGAGGGGGGTGAGTGGGGGCCCAGGGGCCAAGGCGCTTCCCAGGGCCCAGAGGTCAGCTGGGACCTGCCCTTCCATGCCAGATGCTTGCACTTCTATCACCGGCCAGGCCTAGGGACCACACCCTTGCAGGAATTTTGTGCACCAGGCCTCTAGTTCTATATAATAAAAGGCTAATATGCAAATTGTCCCCTTGGGAGTTCAACCAACCAGGAGTTCGACTATTTGCTATGATGTGCGCTGACCACCAGGGGATAGCACAGAATGAAGGAAGGCCCTGGCCAGCAGCTGGGGAAGGAAGGCCCCAGGCAGTAGTCAGAAGGCCCCTATCGGCTCTGATCGCGGGCCAGGCCTAGAGACCCTACCCGTGCAGGAATTTCATGCACCGGGCCTCTAGTAACTAATAATACAAAAATAAACAACATTTCATGTACTCACAACTGTAAACATACTTTTGCCCCACCATGTATATATAATCTATCTACCTATTCTGGAATTCTAGCACTGGAATTTCACCATGACAAATAAAGATTGGTTTTAGTAAATTGAAATTCATTGGAGAGGGGGAGTCAACACAAAATTGAATTTAGAGAGGTAGAAAGATGTTGATTTTTGGTTTTCAACATAATAAAGTTCAAATAGAAATATCCTATAATCAATTAAAGGTATGGGGCTAAAGAAAATGAGAGAAAAGGGTGGTGATGTACATTTGGGAATCATTCTTCTCCTTTGCTAAATTCATCCCTTGTGCTTTCATCACTTCAAGATGAGTCCATCATTTCATGAATAAATATTTAATTTGAGCAAAAGTTATGAACCAGTTACTTTCTAGGTACTATTGCAAATATCATTTTCCTTATATTTTAGTGGATGAACTCCCAAATACTCCAGAATATAGTTAGACTTTTTCAGAGGAGGAATAAGAACAGGGATGGTGATAACAGATGAATTTTATACATACTATATTATTTTTACTAATTCAAAAAAGTAAAAAAGGAACAAAGGAGTAGGGTGCCCTTCTAGTTTTCAGTTAAAAGAAAAAGGAAAAGAATGGTCAGAGAGCAACAAGAAAAATAAGGAAACCAACTAGGAGGTCGGGAAACAGGAGAATGAATTATTTTATCTGAGACTATGAGAGAGAACCTATGGCTCTATCCCTTGCAAAATTCTTACATTACCTATTTGAGTAATTTATTGACAAAACCAGGAAAAGTCTGGCCTTTCTTCCATAAACAACTTCAGACTTTGACCATGTTCTCCCAGCTTTTTTTACACGCATCCCTCCTCTGTCCCACAAACCTTTACCTAAAGAGTCCAGCTTCATTTCTGAATGTAGCATTAATAATTAAGCTATAGTTATTCTTTCAGGAAATATTTCTCTGTCTGGGTTGGTTAATGACCCTACATGCAAAACAAATGAAATTACTAGTCAAGTTAACCACTAGAGGCATAGATGCCTTGAAGGGCTAATTATGTCAATGGCTCCCCTGCTCTAGCCTTGTACTTCTAGAATAGCATTTGATTTAGCAGAGCAGATGAAATAGTACCTGTATGCAATGCACTATTTCATCTGTGCTTATAGGTACCCCAAATACCAAACTTTATTGCATTGGTTCTCTGATACTCCTTTGTGTAGATAAAATTCTTCTTTTGATGATGGCAATATAATGCTAG